TTGTTGCTCTCTAACCCTCTTGGTGGACGGCGGTATAAATTTTATATAGTTTGGAAATTATAAAACAGATACTTTACATATATTTTTTTTGATTGCTAGTGGTGCTTTGTGTTACATGAAGTTTCAAACATGTAGATTGGTCAGCTGATGCAATTAAAATTTTCAATTCATTTCAGAAACATTTCTGTCAAGGATAAAACAACGACTTGTTAGGAACTTTCATTAGATTCAAAGCTAATTTTTCAGTCATTCTTCATGATTGCCATCTAATTTAAGTAAATAACACGACAAACTACCGTTTGAAGAAGATAAATCTGTGGAAAGAATTATTTTTTTAAGAGATTTTTTGGGTAATTAAATACCCACCAAGAAAGGGTTAAGAACTCAAAAAAAAAAAAAAAGAATGGAAAAGAAAAAACTTCACACATGTATGGGATTTTTTTTCCTCTCTCTCTCTCTACACACACACACACACACACACACACACACACACACACACACACACACACACACACACACACACACACACACACACACTCACACACACACACACACATATATATATAATGAATTTTCTAGAGGAAATTTAATCATTCCGTCAACTGCAGTTGTAAACTATTTAATCAATGAAGAATGCGAGTCACCTACAAATTCAACTACTCTTTACTCGTTTTTTATTTTAGGTAAACGCTGCGCAAGGTCGGCCGGTCGGGCCGAAGGAAAAAAAAAAGAATGTTTACATTGACAGTCAAAACGCAGTGTCTCCCTCAATGACGAGACGATAAATAATGCCCCATTGCGTTTACGTTGAAATTCAACGGGCACCTGAAGCACGGAGCATTCTTCTAGCCCGAATTTTGAAAATTATAAATTTCTTTGACAAAAAAAATGGAGCTTTCATTCTTCAATATTGAATCTCGATAAAAGTAGAAATTTTTTTTGGAGAGATTAGGAGCGAAATAGCATTGTTTTTTGGCAGAAAAATGATTTGAAGCACCAGCGTCACTAATGACACCAGCTGGAAGAAAGAGTCTCTACTCGGTAGAAGAAGTATTCATGGAGGAAAAAAGACTAGGAGGATAGTTTCTTGATGTGAAGCTGAGTTCTTGAGTTACTATTGGTAGAGAGAGGAGGTACTCTGATGATGCTATTGGCTGTCCTCGATGGAGTTAAACTGAGTATATATAGGGTGGGAGTGCCCCATTTCGCAGAGTATCCCATTACATAGTAGGGATTATTCATAGAAAACGTCATAAAACACGTGGTACAGGATTAGGGATTCTAGGGAAAATCGACAAGACAGGGAGTCTAGAAGGGATTATTTTGACAGATTTACGATCATCGGAAAAAAGGATTAAACAAATTTTAAGAGCGCGTGATCTAATAAATAAAAGGATAATTTGGAATGGAATCAGGAAATAAGAATGAACTCTTTACTTTTGAATTAGGGGCGTGGTATAGAATAGAAAATTATATATATAATATTTAAATAATTTTCCTGTTATTTACATGTTCCATGCAAAACGAAACTTTTTCACGGTTTTTGTCTTTCAGATCAAACTCAATCTTGTTCCCTGTTGCAACTACTTACGAGTTTGAAATTAGTGCGTTTGGCACCATTTTTAAATTCGAACCCAGCGGTACGCTAAAATAGGAATTTGTTTTAATTAAATTGTCAGAGGATGAGTGGGTGATTGTTGGAATTTTTGGTGCAGGAGCCAAATATGGCTATGATGCGCCAAATATTTATTTAAATTTTTGAAACATTGTCTTTAAAACCACATTAAAACCATATTTTATTTCTTTTGACTTGGTTATCTCATCTATTATTTTATAGATGAGATAACCAAGTCAAAAGAAATAAAATGTTAAGGTTAAAATATGAAAAATGATTCAAAAATTTATATGAAAAAGCGGACTAGTTGTTGCGATGGGGTTTCCTCACGCAAGTCAGACAAATTTAAAATAGAGGAATGAAAAAAAAAAGCGAGATGATGATGAAACACTGGATAGTCAATAACAATATGATGAACGATTATGGGACACGGCAGGAAGGACCCCCGGGAACAATCTTGCCAAACAGAAGATGTTTGTGGGTAAGGCGAGTATGTCCAGTGCCAAGGCGAATAAACTTAACATGCGCTCTTTGCATTGGGATATGAGAACATTCTATAATTATGGACTTCACCGATTAGTTTGTTTTGATTTGGTTTTATTAACGTCGCACTAGAAGCAACACGATTGTCTTCACCGAGTGTAACTTGTTGTGGGTGTAGAAATCTCACAGCTAAGGCAATCGATGGTGGACTACGCAATTTTGAACCAAGATCAAGTGACGAAGCAGGCACTCTAACCGTTTCCTCTCTCTCTCATACATTTGCGCCAGAGTAGCCTAGTGGTCATGGTTTCTGACTCGCGGCTGGCGTTGTTTTCGTCGGGTCGTAGGTTCGAGTCCTAACGCCATTAAAAGTCCGCGCCATATAACATTTTAGCAGGGCTTATGCATGTTAAACCTAGTAAAAGTCCAAAGTTTTCCCGTTGGCGTTGGAGAGGGGGGTGACAGCTAAGGACAACCTCGTCTCGTGTCCGAGGTTCAAAATGACGAGGTCCGTCGCCAATATCCAACGTGTTTCTTCTTTGTGCGACGTTAAAAAACAATCACAATCATATCCGAGTATATTTGCAGTCTAACGAGGATTTTGAGACTTAATTCCATGTAGCATGCAACACACACACACACTCCCCCCTATACCACTCTAACCGCCGCATTCACCGTTAATTTGTGCGATAGTTAAAAGAAGAAAACCGGGGTTGCGCTGTCAGTTCATTTCACTGTCATAGATTCATTCTCTAGCTCTAGTTCAGTTTAAGAAATTTTGACCGGGCTGAAAGCTGGGTTAAATTCAATCGCGCTTGCTCAGTAAGTGATTTTTTCGTCTGTTTACAGTTTTGTGTGTGTATGTAAACAATTTTGGGTTTGGATATACTTAAGATCTTACTATGGATAAAATTAAGAAAATTTAATCGATTGCTCACTTGTATTAACGAAACATTGGAAACTAGAAGACAAGCGGAAAGTAAGATGAAACGATATGTATGTAGAAATGTTTGGAGATTTCGGAGACTCCAGTAGAGCAAGTTCTGATTGCTCTGTGATTTTACGCTGTTGTATGCATGCAATTGGCGATTGCTGACTTGACAAATCAGTCGAGGTCACAGGCTCTATTTTGACCAATGAGATTCAATCGGTTGCCGCAGGTTAGGGAACTCGAATTTAAGTAGCCAGGGTTGAAAACATAACGACGAAATGAAGTTTTAAGCCGACGGTTTTTCTTTTGCTTGACCGCGATTTCCTAATCCATAGTCCAGTACAGTTAACGGAAAACACGCAAGAGTCTTAAATCATACAAAGTCTCAGTTGTCGCAGACCCAAAAATAATTAAATATTCTTATATTTTTGTTTGAAGATTTTTCATATGTTTATTTCAAGTTTGGAATACGAGTGCATGGCGATGCTTTCAGAGAAGAACTGCTCAGAAAAATAACATCAGTCTCAGAGTCACATTTTATGTAAACATCTGCCTACTCAAGAACCTTAAGAACAATCATCTTTGTGAAAGCTCTAGCAGAAACTGGTGACAAAAATATCAGATGTTTCCTGCCAATATCATTTTGTTGAGTACCTTAACATTCAGTATTTATTGCAAATTAGCTGGAGTACTCATCCAACACACAGGTGAGTGCTTAAAACAAATACTGTCCCAAATAAGAATCAATAAATAATAATAGGTTGACCGGAAAGTTGTCAAATTGGAAAACGAAAGAAAATGATGTATTTTCAATAATTGAACAATATTTATTGAACAACAATTTCCTTTGTTCCTAGGATTGATCTATAAATATTCTAGATGGGTGCCTCTTGAGTTTATTCAGAATGATTAGCTTAATATAGTTTTGGCGCTAGAATTTTATGACCTCATGGAGGGGTTACTTCGATGGGCCGGGGACGTTTCGAACCCTGGACTAGTGGATCCGGTGAAAAGTTTACCGGTACCTTTTTGCTGCGCCTTTACCAATTAGACTAAAAGAGACTCGGACTAATTATTAAGGCATTTGAATTTCTGGTGTTGTCGAAAAGTGTCGTCGCAGAGTCGTCAAAAGCGCATTTTTGCTTGTTCTGAAGAAAAACGAACTTTTACAGGACTGATTGATAAATGACGAGATATGGATTACTTACAAAAACAACGTAAGGAAATGAGCTTTCTTTGATTCCGGACAACCTGCCCCCTCCTCTTCTAAGCTGAGATCCAATCTGAATGAGAGAATACTCTGCATAGGCTGGGACGTTTAAGTACCAACTATGAGCTCTTAAAATCTAATGGGAAGCTGAATTCAGAGAGATACACTATCAAAAAATGGATGATTTAAACAAAATCTCAGAGAAAAAGGCCGACAATGTTCATTAGGAAGCACATCATACTACATCATGATAATGCCAGACCACATGCTGTGTTGGCAACTCGTCAGAAAATCGCAAGACTAGGCTGGAAAATTCTGTGGCATTATCCATATGGGGAAGGAGTGTGTTGATAAAACCGTCATTTCCCCATAATTTCCATTCAGAAGGTGTGCGAGATGCAATCAACTTTTCTGTCGTTCCGGAGAGCTGTTACATTAACATTTCACTTTAGCCATTAAATCAATTAAATTATTTAGTTCCATTAAATTAATTAGCCACACCGTAAACGGACTCCACTCCAAGTAAAAGAAACTTCAAATCTTGGAGATTTTAAATAATACTTATTTTAATGCAAACAGAAACATCTTCAATCATTACAACAGTAGACCATTTCTAAAATTTATAGAACAACACATAATCATAATAATGTTTTTGTTGCCACTGACACAGGAGCAAATCTCTTCCATCATCATTTCAGCAAACGATTTTTTCGTAATATTTACTCTTGTCCTTTTTGAGAGGCAAAGAACCACTCATTTATCTCAAACTTATCATTTACAAATATAAAACTTAAGTGAGTGGAGAAAAGATCGTCTGCTCCTTTTCTTCAAATCTCTTTACAGTTCTGCAGTCAAAACGACGTAGGAAGTCGCCACATCCATACTCCCGAAACCTAGCACCCTCTGATTATCACGTTTCTCTCCTTGCAATCTTTTGAAGGAAGAAATTTTTTTAAACAGAAGCAGATATTTTCCAAGCACTACCTGAATTATTCGCTGCTTAATACAATTTATTGTTCAAAAATGTTATTTACAAATTACCATCGCGCTGGCAAGAAGTCATGAGTTACGACAAAAATTTTATTGTACAATAAATATAATTAAATGTATGGAAAATGTATTATTTTCTTTCAGTATCCAAACTAATCCGCGAAAGATCTAATAAATATCAGGTAGCCTTAAGATGAAAAAAGATATTGTAATATCAACAAGAGTTAAAAGAAACTAACTGAAATAGATATACCTAATAAAACAAGTAATATAAAAAAAAAAAAAATTAAAACCATTTCCTACTTAGATCAACAAAGAAATTTTTTTTATTTTAGTTACTTTTTATTAAATAATTACAATTAACATA